CCAGTGGAGTTCAGATGACAACCTCAGGAATCAGTTGTCACCATCCACTTAACTGAGGAAGGGTCTCTTTGTTGTTTGCTGCTGTGTATCCCAGGCTAGCTGGCCCACGAGCTTTCAGAGATTCTCCTGTCTCCGTGCCCCATCTCATCCTGGGAGCACTAGGGTTACAGATACATGCTACTGCAGCCAGCTGCACATGGGCTCTGGAGATTTGAACTCAGGTCTCCACTCCTGTGAAGCAAGTGCTTACCCACTGGACCTCCTCCCTCCGTCCCGGTCAAGCATCTTGAAACCCAACTCTGGCTTACCTGGCAGCTTTGGTGCTTTGATGGGGTAACCCAGGGGGACACCAGGCTGCTGTCCCCCAAAGGGCCCAACCCCTGCAAGAATAGAGAGGGCACATCAGTCCCAGGCCTTGTGGTGGCAGGTTTTTTTTCAAGCCCCTGGCTGTCAGCCTACTCTGTTCAGATGGAGTGAATTCATTCCCCATGGCATTCTGGAATGGTCCCTTCGTCATGGGTCAGGGAAGTGCTCCCCAGCAATGAGTCAATGACTGGCAGGAGTGGAGAGACACACTCCTACACTCATCTGTGCTGACCTTAGGGCACTTCTGGGTATCTTGGTGCATTCTGGATTCACATTGATGGAGTTGGGGTTAGAGCAACGGTTCTCAACCTTCCTAATGTTGCGGCCCTTGTACAGTTCTTCATGCTGTGGTGACCCCCAATCATACAATTATTTCACTGCTACTTCATAACTGCCATTTTGCTGCTGTTATGAATCATGATGTAAATATCTGATATGCAGGTTATCTGATAAGTGATCATTGTGAAAGGGTCATTCAACCCCCAAAGGGGTTGTGACCTACAGGTTGAGAACCACTGGGTTAGGCAATCATGGCCTGGACTGATGACACTTTGGTAAAAGCCTGGCTTTTGATTTTTTTAAAAAAACATTTTAGAACATGAAATATGGGGAATGATCTTAGGTCCTCACAATTGTGTGATAAACACTCCACCAAGGCAGCAAGAGAGATGGGCAGGATGACTAGGTTTCTGGGGGTCTAGCTCACCTAGGGAGAGTAGCTGCAACTCACCTGGGATTCCAGCGAAAGCTCCACCGCCACCTGCAAAGACAAAGAGCTGCCACTGCGGCCCAGTGTTGTGTGCAGGGCACAGAGCACAGTCGCCAGACTTCTTTGTCCTGGACAAGAGATCTACCACTCACCCACACCCCAGCCCCTCCCTGGGGGATTCTAGGCAGGGGCTCTACCACTGAGCCACACCCCAGCCCCTCACTGGGGGATTCTAGGTAGTGCTCTACCACTGAACCACACCCAGCCCCTCACTGGGGGATTCTAGGCAGGGGCTCTACCACTGAGCCACACCCCAGCCCCTCACTGGGGGATTCTAGGCAGGGGCTCCACCTCTAAGGTTCATTCTGCCCCCATTCATTCAGTAGTTTTTTTTTTTTTTTTGAGACAGGGTTTCTCTGAGTAGCCCAGGCTGCTCTGAAACTTGAAGACCCACCTACCTCTGCCTCCTAAGTGCTAAGATTAAAGGCATATACTACCACTGCCTGGCTGGCTAGGGATTTCTAAGCAGGTACTCTCCTCCTGAGTCCTACCCCTCAGCCCTCTTTTTACTTTTCATTGGAAACAGTGGTCCACTAAATTGCCCAGGCTTGCCTTGAGCTTTCAAACCTCCTGAGTTGCTTGGGATCATAGACTGATGTCGTTAGGCCAGAGCTACTCTTCAGGTTTTCTGAACAGCATTCTGCCCTTCCCATCCAGCAGAAGCAGGGCTGGGGCATAAGAAGTAACTCCCTGTCTCCAGATAAGCCTAGAATCCCAAGGTATCCCTTACAGCCAAGGCCAGCTTGACCTGCAGGCTGACAGAGGACCTACCCTGGCCCCGGCGCAGTTGGCTGTACATACCTGGGACCTTGGCCTTGACTCCTGTGCCAGTGGGAACGCCAGGGAGCACCCCCACACCTGGGAACCGAGCTCCTGAGAGCGTAAAGACATGGCGGCAGTGAGGCAAGGGAAACTCTGCTTGGCAACCCATGCCACCCTTAGGTCTATTAACCAGTCTATTTCAGTACTAATGACTGCCCACGGGCATGACTCATGCAGGGCAAGTAAAGTAAGGACCACTTTGTGGGGACTTTCTTCCCTATGCGGCTCGAACTCAGAGGGTTTTATGTATGTATGTATGTATGTATGTATGTATGTATGTATGTATGTATGCATGTATTTATTTTTTGGTGGTGCTGTGAATTGAATTTAGGGCCATAAAGATGGGGCAGGTGCTCTACCAATGAGCCACACCCCCAATGCCCTTCTTACCTTTTTAGACAGAGGCTAGCTAAGTTACTCAGGCTAGACTTGAACTTCTGATTCACCTATCTCAGCCTTCCAAATGGCTGGGGTAGCATGCCTATGCCATTAGTCCTGGCTGGAAGATCTGACTTTTAATCCCAGCTCAACTGAGTTTGATCTCAGCCTCGGTGGACCTCAACTGTAATAGATCCATCGTGATCAGGAGAAAAGGCACAGAGAGATCTACAGCCACACTTCCCTGAATGTGTCTGATCGGAGAAGCTAACTAAGCAGGATGGGGAGTTAATACTTGGATGGGAGAAAGCATAGAGAGGCCCAGCCAGGGTGACATGCCTCGTAGTGGCTACCTCTCAATGGATTGGAATCTGCTAGGCTCTCCCTCCTCTCCTGCCTCCCCTGGGGCTTGGCTGCCTCAACCAGGAAGGAGCTCTGTCAGCAAATCCCTGAATCTGGGCTTTTGGGGGATTTCAGGAGGTCTTGCTGGGTGGGGAGGTAGGTTCTGGCAGAGAAGGAAGTGAAGGGCAGTTCTTAGAGGGGGGTCTCCTGTAGGACAACTTCCTGGGCGTGCCAATGCCTAGTGACTCAGGGCTTCTGGGAAAAAGCTGGCTACACCAGGGACTCCATCTGCCCTCTGAGGACTGGTTTTAGGGCTGTGATGAGGGTGTTGGCCTGGGGTGAGGGACTGGGTGGGGCTGGGGAAGCTGACCTTTGTTGGGAAGGATCTAATGTTGATTAAGCTGAATTTGAACTCAGCTGGTCTTAGCTTTAGGAGGATACATCCCCAACTTTCTTTCTTTCTTCCTTTTTTCCTTCTTTCTTTCCTTCCTTCCTTTCTTCCTCTCTCTTTTTCCTTTTTCTTTCTTTCTGATAGAGTCTTATGTAGTTCAGGCTGTCCTAAAGCTTGTTATGTGGCCAGGAACGACCTTGAACTCAGGATCCTTGTGTCCCCATCTCCCACACGCTGGCATTATAGGGGTGCATCACCATATCTGGTTTATGAAATGCTGGGAATGGAACCCAGGGCTTTGAGTATGCTGGGCAAGCACTCTACCCACCGAATCACCCTCAACCTACTCTTCAAAACAAATTTTGTCTTTATTTTGTGTGTATGGTGTTTCGCCTGGCTGTATGTCTGCACACCGCATGCCTGCCCAGTGCCCCTGGAGAACAGAAGAGTCACAGACAGTTGTCAGTGGTCATCTGGGTGCTGGGAGCTGAACCCAGGGTCCTTTGGAAGAGCAACCTGTGCCCTTAATCACTGAGTCACCTCTGTAGCTCCACTTTTTTGCTTTTTGAAATGAGGTCCTATGATGTAGCCCAGGCTGGCCTCAAACTTAAGATCCTTATGCTTCCGCCTTCAAAGTGCTGGGATTAAATGCATGTACCACCACACCTGGCTTATGTGACGCTGGGGATGGAACCCAGGCTAAGTAAACACTGTATCAGCCGAGCTATGCCATCCCTCTGGTTCTCACCTGTGCCTGGGAGCACTCCACCTGGGTACACACCTGGGAGACCAACACCTGAGGGCAAAAGAACAAGAAACCTTAGCAGAGGCTCTGCCATCCCACCAGACAGCAGCAACAAGCGGTCTTGGACTTGCAAGTCAGTGTGCCCACTGGGGAAGCTAGGGACAGACATGGCGTGGTCACAGCCATCCCTGCTCCATGTCAGAGAGCCTGCACAGCCTTCGGAGCACTGGGTTAACCGTCTTCTGGAGCCCGAAGCCTGTTTACACAGCCCGGCCAGCCCACCTCAAGTCTAAAGGCTTCCAGATGTTCGCCTTTTATTTAACCTGAAGTCACTTCCTAAAGAGCATGGGGCCAAATGAGCACCAGATGGGGGTGCCGCAGGCTGCTGGGCTCCCCTCCAGCTCTACCGGGAACAGCTGTGAGCCCTTCTGTTCTGACTCAACATTTAAAACCTCAGTTTCCCTATCTGTGATCCAGAGCCCATCTGTGAGGTCTCTTTTTGCTCCAAGATCATAGAAGTTTTTAGAAGCCAGGCTCAAGTCACTCAGCCCTATTGCTCAAACAGGTCTGCTGCTTTGGATCTGTATGCCCTGTTCCCTTCATCCTTGGAGGTGGGGAGGGCTCTGACCTCTGCAGACTCCTAGACCTCTGACCTCTCCCTGACCTCTGACCCCCATCACCCCCCCAGATTCTGCACTGACCGGGAACTTTTCCAGGCTTCCCTCCAGCTCCGACTCCAGCCCCGACTCCAGCTCCGACTTGAGGCACCACGGCACCTGAAAGGAAGGAATTGCAGATCTGACTCCACCCAGGCCTGCAGGCACCACCTTGTGTCACTCAGGTCCAGCCATCATACCTGTTGATACTCCTAAGCCACCAGGGACACCACCAACTCCAACACCACCAGGGACGCCACCAACTCCTACACCACCAGGGACGCCACCAACTCCAATACCACCAGGGACGCCACCAACTCCAACACCACCAGGAACGCCTCCAATTCCACCAAGCCCAGCCCCTGCATAGTCAGAAGCAGGAGGGTTCAGGGGTCAGACAGAGGCTGTGCCTTAAGATCTCATCCAGTCACCAAGCCAATTTAAGGCTGGCTACAACTAGCTGCCCACCGGGGAGGAGGACCCCCCCCCCCATCTACCTCCTGGGTCTGGATGAGGGAGCATTCTCTGAGAATTTCAGAGTCTGGGAAAGCCAGCGGGCTGGTGGAACTATCCCTAAAACTCACCGGCTTTGGCGGCAGCTTTGTAAGCTGCAGCAGCCCCTGCTGCTCCTCCAGGCACCAGACCTCCTGCCCCTGGGTAGGTGCCGGCAGGAAAGGCTCCCAGACCTGTGGAGGAGAGCATGACTGAGGTCCTGAACTGCCATGCGCAGTGGGCGTTGCCGAGCCTCAGCCCAGCCTGGGCCCTTTCTGCGTCCTCTGAAGGAGTCCAGTGTCACATGGCGGCCCCTGCTCACCAGGATGGGAGCGTGTCAGCGGTTCCCAGCCTGTGGCCTGTGGGTGGGATGACCCTTTCGTAGGGGTTTCCCGAGACCATCTGAAAACATGGACCATTACAGTGCGATTCGTGAGTGAAAGAGCAGTGGGAATAACATGGCTGGGGGTCACCACACATGCGGAACTGTATAAAAGGGCCGCAGCGTTAGGAGAACCACTGTGTTAGAGGGTTCCTACACAACTTCTCAGCTCAGCCTCAAAAAGCTGTGTGAATCTTTTAGTTCTTGAGACAAAGTCTGGCTATGTGTGTAGTCCAGGCTGGCCTGGAAATCATTATGTAGCTGAGGATAACCTTGAACTCTTTGATCCTCTGCCTCCCAAGGGCTTGGGTTTGCAGGCATTTCACCACATCTGGTTTATACAGTGCTGGAGATGGAAGTTGGAGCAGGCAAGCCCAGTCTCAAAATGTATGTATATGCATACATATATGTATATATATACATATATGCATACAAATGTACACATATACAAATGCATATATACATATACATACATATATATATATATATATATATATATATATATATATATATATAAAAGAAAAAACCTCACTGGGTAACTCTAGCTGAACTGGAACTCTCTATGCAGATCAGAATGGCCTTGAACTCACAGAGCTCTTCCTGTCTCTGCCTCCTGAGTGCTGAGATTAAATGTGTCTGTTACCATGCCCAGCCTCAATATTTTGTGTTTTTGAGACAAGGTCTATATAGCCAGGCTGGTCCAGGATTTGCTATATAGCTCAGGCTGGCCTTGAACCTCCTATCATTATGCCTTAGTCTCCTAAGGGCTGGTATTCTACCCCTTGGCCCCCAGGAGATGCCTCTCTCCAGATTCATCTCTTTATTACAACTGTCCCCCAGGGTAGCTTCTCGGAGCAGGTGACACTGGTGTCATTCCTCATCCAAGCTCTCACCAACACCTGGCTCCCACTCTGTGCCCTGACTGCTGTTTATATCCCAGGCAGGGGCCCTGGGCCTGGGTGAGAGGCTGGCATCTTGCTCGGGTGTTCCCACTAACCTGCCCCAGGGCCAGCAAGTCCTCCAGGACCTGTGAAGAGGACAGAGGAAGAGAAGTCAAGGGTGTGGTTTTCACGCCTGGGCTCCTTGTAAGATAGCTGCCGTCATGGGATGGGGTGGGGGTGGGTGTCTAGGCTGGTCCCTGTATCTTTAGTTCTGTGGTGGTGGGGGCACATGGTCCTGATAATCTGCAACCAACAGACAGTGATCCAATGCTATGTGTGACGCTGACATGATTGTCTCTCACGAGTGTGATAGCCTGGGCGTCTCCTAGGATGACATCCCTCCCAGGCCATCCCTCATCCCTTCTAGGTCAGCCTTTCTCCCATTGGTAGCTGCCACCCCAGGCATCTTCTCTGCTTCCTTGATGGTGAGTCCTGACACAGACCCCTCCCCTCACCCTGGATTTGTACCTGTGTTTCCACCCACTTCCTGATTTTTGTGTTTTGAGACAGGGTCTCATGTAGCCCAGGCTTGACTCAAACTCGCTAAGTATCTGAGAGTGAACTTGAACTTCCGATCCTGCTCCCTTTACCTCCTAAATGCTGGGATTTTAGGAAGTTACCAGAAAGCCCAGTTTATGTGGTGCTGGGGCTTGAACTCAGGGCTTTATGCACGCTAGGTTAGGGCTATACATGAACTATGCCACATCCCACAACCTGGGAGTCCTTTCTGTAAAACATCCTTCTATCCAGAATCTTCCTTGCTAAAATCCATGAGAAGCCAAATGGGTCCCTCTGGCTCTCTCTTTTCCACATCTGGGCCCGATCATTCCTTCTCCTCCTCCAGGAGACATTCCATGGCCTTGGCCTTGACCGATGGGCCCAGTTAGGTTGGAGTTTTGGAGGTTTGCCTTGGCAGGTTTGTTTCCAATTATGGGAAAAATCTCTCTTGCCAGAACCGGCTGTGGTTGTGGGGTCTAGAGGAGTTGTAGGGCAAAGTCCTCTAAGGGACCTCCCAAAGCATAGAGTCTGCTGAGCCCCGAGGAGGAGGTCTACCTGGCTCTCACTTGATATTATCTTTCCTCTGACTAGCTTTCCCCACTCACCCCCTGACTGTATGAGGACTGAACATGTAGTTCAGTAGTGATTGCCAGGCATGTGCAAAAGTCCTGGTTTCCATCTCCAGGACCACTATACATACATACATGTATATATCGCAGACATCTATAATGAGCCATGTAGTATGTATGTATGGTGGTGGGCAGAGACTGGGGTTACATGGATCAGTCATTTTCTGGTCTCCCCTCCCAGACTCTCCCCAGTTCTGTCAACAGCTCCTCAAGCTAGCCCTGTTTCCTACGCTTGTAGAGGATGGGGGTACACTCAGATCTTTCCTGGCCAGTTGAGGGGCTGACAGGACAAGCCTGGACGGGAAGTAAGAAAGAATGGCCTGGTCTCTGCTGTTGCCTGCGTTCTGTCAACAGTTTCATCCAGTTTACCCTCATCCCTGGCAACCCTCTGTAGTCACCGTCTTTAGGACTCACCTACTCCGAATGCTCCCAGAAGACCTGCGCCTGGAAAGATGGAGAAAGAGTTAGGGTTGGAGCACAGCTGGGAGCCCAGAGCCTTACTAGCCTGCCCACTCCTTTCCTTAGTCAGAAAGTTCCAGACTCAGGTTCCGATGCCCCTTCCCATGGTCTGTGTAGATGAGGGAGTCACATACTTTCTCTGAGCCTCAGTTTCCCCACCTTTATTATTAGTTTTGAAATGATAATTTTTAAAAGATTTTTTTTCAAGACAGGGTTTCTCTGTATTGCTTTGGAGGCTGTCCTGGAACTCGCTCTTGTAGACCAGACTGGTCTTGAACTCACAGAGATCCACCTGCCTCTGCCTCCAGAGTGCTGGGATTAAAGGCGTGCGCCACCAACGCCCAACAAAAGATTTTATTTTATTTTTAAATTGTGTGCGTTTTTATGTGTCTGTGTTTGGGTATGTACACATGAGTGCAGGAGCTCATGGGTGCCGAATTTGGGTCCTCTGTAAGGGCAGTATGTGCTTTTTATCATTGAGCAGTCTCTCCAGTCCCTTAAAATCTTTAAGAGATTTATTTATTTATATTTTATATGTGAGTGCTTTTGCCTGCTTGTGTGCTTGTGTGTGTGTGTGCACCGTGTGTGTGTGAACCGTGTGTGCGTGTGTGCACCCTGTGTGTGTGTGTGCTTGTGTGTGTGTGTGCACCGTGTGTGTGTGTGCGTGTGTGCACTCTGTGTGTGTGTGTCTGGTGCTGGTGAGGGCTAGCAAGGTAGTCGAGCTCCCTGGAATTGGAGTTATATGTGAGCTGTCATGTGCATGCCAGGAACTGAACCCCAGTCCTCTGCAGGTGCTCCTAATTCCTGAGCCATCTCTCTCGTCTCCCTACTTTTCTTTTCGAGACAGGGTTTCATGTAGCTCTCCCTGGCTTGAAACTCGATAGGCAGCCAGTATGACCTTGAACTCCTGGTCCTCTTGTGTGTGCCTCTTGGTTGCTGAGCGCACAGGCACAGGCCTCCAGTGCTTTATTATGTCCCCTGGGGAGGAAGCCAGGGGTCTGCGCATGCCAGGCAAGCGTTCTACCAACTAAGCCACACACTCAGCCCTAGTTTTTTTCTTTTTGAGAAAGGATCTCACCATGTAGCCCTGGCTGGCTAACTGACTTGAAACTTGCTAGCCTTAAATTTATAGTTATCTGCCTGTCTCTGCCTCTCAAGTGCCAGGGTTAAAGGCATGCGCCACTATGTCTGCGGTGGGTTTTTTGTTTGTTTGTTTTTTGTTTTTGTTTTTTCCTTGCTTTTTGCTTTCTTGTCTTAAGGTCTTCCTGTGTATGTGCACTGTGTGTGGTGTGTGTGTGTGTGTGTGTGTGTGTGTGTGTGTGTGTGTGTGTCTGGTGCTGGTGAAGGCTAGCACAGGCTGATCTTGAAGTTGCATATAGCCCAGACTATGGCTGAACTGGTGATTTTCCTGCCTCAGTTTTCACAATACTTAACTCACTTTGCAGCCCTGGTTAAACTTGAACTCACGGTCCTCTGGCTTCTACCTCTTGAATGCTGTGATGACAGGCTTGTGCCATTATGCTTGGCTAAAACGCCCATCTATTTGTGGCTTCCATGACCCCTACCTTCTTGGGGTCACTGAGCTTGTGAGCAGGAAGCACCTACTGTGTGCAACCTGCATGGGTGTCCCAAGGATACTCATCTTGGCTCCTTCCAGTCCTTGCCATCCCCTTGTTTGTAGTGGCTGGCCAGGCGGCTGGTCTCCAGCTGGTGCTCTGGATGTGGGCAGTGCTGGCTCCCAGCTGCCTGGTCCCCCACTGAGAACTCAGGCAGGGAGGGGCCAGCCTACAGCACCCACATGGAGGAGCAGCCGCCAAGCCACCCACCCTTGCTCCCAGGGGATTAATTGTTCCCAAACACGGTCTGTACAATCCCGGCACCCCATCCAATCCTGCTTGGGCAGGCCCAGACATCCCTCTAGCTAGGATGAGGGGACCTTCACTGGGTTATTCATGGTGGTTTGGCCAAGCCTGTTACAGACTACAGCCTATCCTGGGGCTAAAAGATGACCATAGGAACTGGACCCAATAGTACATGGCCTGCCATTTCAGCTACTCAGAAGGCGGAGGCAGGAGGATCTATATTTCAAGGCCTGTCTGGGCTATATAGCTCAAGGTCATCCTGGACAACTTAGTGCAACCCTATATCAAAATAAAAACAAGATGGCTTAGTGGGTGAAGGCACTTGTCCCTAAGCCTGATGACATGAGTTCAATTATTGGGACCTACATGGTGGAAGGAGAGAATCAGTGCTCCAAGATTGTCCTCTGACCTCCACAGGCACACTGTGGTGCATGCGTTGTATGCCCATAAGAAATAAATGTACGAACCAATAAACAAAGGTAGCTTTTGAAGAAATGTAGAAAGAGGTCCAGGGGAAGAGTGCTCGCCTCACATGTATCAGACCCTGACTTCCATCCTTGGTACCACAAGGAGAATTAACAAGCACAGGGTCTCCTGGCTTTACACAACTCCCTTCCCTTAGAACCTGACTTGCCCAGATGCCCTGTCCTCTTCCTCCCTTGCTGGCCCTGGTCCTGAAGTTTCACAGCTCCCATAGGCTTCAGCGAAGGGCAATCTGCTTCTCACACATTCATTAGGAGTTGGATCATCTGTCATCAGGATTTTGTAAGAGCAGTTGGGCATCTGAACTGTCCGGGAGCATGTGACTTTGGAGCTATGGTGGCAGGCACTGGGTGGGGATGCATATGCCACATAGAGAGCATCACACATGGGGGAGGGGTGTCAACATGACTGGGATACAGTTCTCTCTCTGTTTGTGTATTAAGAGGAATGGAACACAAGGTTTCCAACATGCTACCCTGAGCTATTCTCCTAACCCCTCACTGGGGGATTCTAGGCAGGTGCTCTACCACTGACTCACACCCCAGCCCCTCACTGGGGGATTCTAGGCAGGGGCTCTACCACTGAGCCACATCCACAGTATTCATTCTGCCTTTTATTTTGAGCAAGGTTCTTGCAATCTATCTGAGGCTGACCTCTCTAACTCAGAACCCTCCTCTCTCAGCCTTCTTAAGTAGCGAAGATGACAGGTGCACATCACCAGACCATGGCCTCCATCTGCTTCACAACCCACAGTGGTTCATTGAGAGACCCCCCCTCCCTTTGCCACCTCCTCAAAGCTGACAGTGATTACTGCTGGCCAGATCACAGCACTATTGATACTAGAAAATTCCATGGTCTGGACCCAGCTGGAAGGAGGCTGAGAACGGGCAGGGAGGTCATCTGGGGCCAGGGTCAGGGTTAGCTTAAAGTTGAGCTCACATCTGGGTCAGAAGTCAAAGGTCTAGATATAGTGCCTGGGGTCTTCCAATCTAAGTGCTGCCTTAGAGAGGACCACTGGGACCTTAGATGCTGCCTTGCCTGAAGCATCAGGGTTGTTTCTTGGGTTGTGAGCAAGGGGAAATCTCCAGGAAGCTAGCAGAGCGGGCCCACGCAGGACACAGGCCGGTGAACTGCCTCCAACCTCCTGTCCCTGGCCGACTTGTGGCCTGACTCTAGTTTGTTGATACCTGGGGACTTTCACTGCCCACGGCTCCCTGCTTTTGGGTCCCTTGCCAGGCATGGCTCTGTCAATCCTACCTTCCCCATTTCAGGGGCCTGACTTAGATCTTACCTGGCTTAGGAGGTTTTCCTCCAGGTCCCAGAGCTGCGGAGGGGAGAAATGATAATGAATGGCAGGGAAGAGGTTACTCACCCTCCCCCCATTTTGATCTGAGATAGGTCTCATCATAGCCAAGGCTGTCCCCAAATTCATGATATAGCCAAGGATGACTTTGAACACCTGAAACTCCCACCTTTACCTCCCATGTTCCGGTATTATAGGCATGTACCCCCTCCCATCTCTTAGATTTATCCGTTGTTTAAGCCTGTCCCACAGTGGAGGGTGAGCGCTGCATGTGGGTCTCCTTCCCAGGTACTAGAGCAGATGTCCAGAGAGTTCTCTTGCTTAGACACGGAGCCCCTGGGAGCCCGTCTATCCCTCTAGATTTTTGGTTGAGTGGCATTTCTCAGTTTGTTTTGAGACTGTGTCTCATGTAGCCCAGGCTGGTCTCGAACTTGCTATGTAGTCAAGGGTGACTCTGAACTCTTGATCTCCTAGCTTTCACCTCCTAAGTGCCGGGGTTACAGGCATGCCCTGACATCTCCAGAAATTTCTCAGTCCCCCCCCAAAGGAGTTAATCTCCATCTGGCAAGAATGTTAAGAGAGGAGATCTAAGAAAATATTAAAGTATGTAGGGGCCATCAGGAAAACAAGGGTAGAAGGTCCTAGAAGGGCCATCAGGGCTTTGTTTTCAAGTGGGTTTCTTTCCCAGAGGATGTTCAACCTGTGTAACAAGGACCCTTAGTTGCTGGGATCTCTTGAAGACCTCAGCTCTAATGATGTGTGTTGGGAGCCATGATGGTACCCAGATCCTTTCTCTGAGGAGTCTAAGTTTCTTACCTCCTCCTCCTCCTCCTCCTCCCAGGCCTCCAATACCAGCTCCTGTTTCATTGAGAAAGAGAGAGAGAGAAATATCAATTAGTATCCAGATGAGCCACACCCCACCACCCACTGTCAAATTCTAGCTGCAGAACTTTGGGCAAGTCAACTCCTATTACCTTCAGTTTCTTTTTCTATATCACTGGCTCAATAGCCTGTGTCAGTTTGTCTTAGGATGGAACTAGAGGAACTTTTGACTTCATGTCAGTAGTTATTATTATTATTATTATTTGGGTATTTTGAGATAGGGTTTCTTTGTATAGCTTTGGAGTCTGCTCTGGAACTCGCTCTGTAGACCAGGCTGGCCTCAAACTCACAGAGGTCCACATGCCTCTACCTTCCAAGTGCTGGGATTAAAGGTGTGCGCCACCAACACCTGGCTCATGTCAGTTATTTTCTTTCCATTTTTCATGTATGTGTGTCTGGTATGCATGTGCGCACGCCCACGGCCCACGTGTGTGTGTGTGTGTGTGTGTGTGTGTGTGTGTGTGTGTGTGTGCGCGCGCGCGCGCGCATGTGTGCACACACAGAAGCCCAACGTTGATGCCTAGAGTCATTCTCCATCAATTCACTGGCGCGGGGTGTCTCAGTCAAACTCAAAACTGGCCAGTGTGGGTAGCTAGCTTGTTCAACGACACTAGGCATGGTTCATGAAGCTCTGGGGCTTCACACACTAGGCGAGCACTCTACCGACCGAGCCACACCCCCAGCGTAGTTGCTCTGTTTCTCTTTTCTGTTGTTTGCCTCCGGTGGGTTGCCAAGAGTGGGATTAATGCTTTGAGGACTGTGAACCTTCCAATGACAGGAATGTGTGAAGGCGCCAGCCTCCTGACAGCAGGGATTATGCTCCATCTTGTGCAATATTTATGCTCCTAATAGCTGTTCCATTAGCAGCTTTATTTAGGGTGGAGACTGGGTCTTGCTATGCAGCTCAAGCTGGCTTTGAACTCTTGACTCTATGTCTGGGGTGCTACTGTTACAGATGCATGCCTTCACATCTGACTCCATTAATTGCGTCCCTTCTTTTGAGGCAGGGTCTCACACAGCCCAGGCTGGCCTGAGCTCTCTCTGTAGCCAAGGATGGCCTTGAATGTCTGTCTTCCTGAGTGCTGGGACTACAGGCATGCACCGCCACACCTGGCTCATGCAGAGCTGGGGGTGGGACCCAGGGTTTCACGCATGCTAGGCAAGCACTCTGCTACCTGAGCCGCATCCGCAGCCTGGTTAACTTCTTCAGAAAGTGGGCCTGATTTGCAGGTCCTCGGAGGCAGAAATTTAAATGTGATAGCGTCTCTGGCCGGTGAAATAGCTCAGTGGGTAAAGCTCACTTGCTGCCAAATCTAACACACTGAGTTCCATTCCTGGGACCCACAGGTAAGATTCCCAAACATTGTCCTATGGAGCTGGGCATGGTATCGCATGCTTTTAATCCTAGCCCTCCAGACACAGAGGCAGGCGGATCTCTGTGAGTTCCAGGACAGCCAGGGATACCTAGTGAGACTCATGTCTTAAAAAAACAAAAAGAAACAACCAAACAAAAATGTTGTTCCCTGACCTCTATATGCAAGCCCTAAAAAAATGTAATAAAAGTATTTAAAAAATATTCCATTTCTCATGAATAGTCCATCCTTGTCTGTCATACATAGGTGTGGAAACTTCATGTGCATTACCTGGATAATAGACTCCACCAGGAACTCCCCCGGGCACAGCTCCTGGAACCCCTAGAAGGAAGGAGGTAGACTCTTTGATTAGTCAGGCTTATCAGATTTTTTTTTCACCTGAGACAGGGTTTCACTATGTTGTGTAGCCCTGGCTATCCTGGATCTCACTCTATAGACCAGGCTGTCCTCAAACTCACAGAGATTGGTTTGCCTCTCTCCTGAGTGCTGAGATTAAAGGTGTGTGCCCCCACTGTCTGGCATCAAACATGTTTTAATGAAGATAAAGATAACAATCATGGCATTGTTTGTCTATATAGATCAATGTCTGAGGCTAAACAACTACTGTTTACATATTATTTTTGTTCCTTTTGTGTGCATGTGTGCTAGCAAGTACTCTACCACTGAGCCACACCCCCAGGTCCCCACTAGGGGATTCTAGGCAGGTGCTCTACTATTGAGCCACACCTCAGCCCCTCACTGGGGGATTTTAGGCAGGTGCTCTACTATTGAGCCACACCCCAGCTCCTCACTGGGGGATTCTAGGCAGGTGCTCTACCATTGAGCCACACCCCAGCCCCACACTGGGGAATTCTAGAGAGACATTCTCCCACTGTATCATGAGACATTCTCCCACTGTATCATGCCCCCAGTTCTTATTTTACTGAGACAGGTTCTTACTATGTAGTTCAGACTGGTCTTGACCTTGCAACCCCCTACCCCAACCAGCAGCTTCTGAGTAGCTGAGATTATAGGCATGAACAACCACACCAGTCTTTGTATTTTTTTCATCTTCTCAAAGTGTCTCAATGAAGTTGGAGGGGCAGAAATTCGGAATGTGGTTCCAGCAGGCTTGAAATCAGGCCCAGAGAGGTTAAGGGAAGTGGCTGGGGCCACACAGCTGGATAAACATGAGGCCTGGAATGAGCCCAGGTCACTTCTCTGAGCAGGAGGCTTAACACTGTTGAAGAGAGGGGACCCTGCCTGTGGTTTTGGCTGGGCACTGGGCAAGGGACTCTGCCTACCTGTTTTACCTATGACTTTGCTCAGAGCTGGGCCAGTTCTAAGAGGGCAGGTTGGGTGGTGATACCAATTAGATGTGGCTGCTGCCTGGCGTTAGCCATTCCCAATCTGGTAGGGTAGTGCATGGTCAGTGTCCTTGGCCCCCGGGTAGCTCTCTTTGGGTGGGGCTCTGGCCATCTGACCCAGGGTTGTTTTGGGAGGCGCCAGGGACTGGAGGGGGTGGGAACACCATGAATGAGCGAATCAAATAGTTTCCTAAGTAACAGTTAATTCCAAGCCAAGGTCACGAGTTCAGTCCCCAGGGACCAGCCAAAACTCTCATTGGGGATGCTGGCCCTGGAGCTGTAGTCATGGCAACAAATAGAGACTCCTATACTGAGCCATGACCTCTAGCCTTGACAAGTCACCTTGACACTATGGCCCAGCTCTGAAGGGAGCCCAAGAGTCACATGGTGGGGGACACAAGGTGGGTGCCAGCCAGTCATGTAACTTTGCAGTGGGTTCAAGGGGACCTCTCAGCCAGATGTCTGTGTGTCTGGCCTGGGAGACTCCATGACAACACACAGCTGGGTCTGCCTGGTCCCTGGACCTTGTCAACCCCAGCAGGGTTGGGAATGTCTGGCTGCCATGGGCAGATTGTGCTAAAATCCTGGCGCCACCACCTCCTGGGGTCTGCGTACCCTCCCCTCTCATCCCTCTAGTGACAGAAATCAGGCCTGGATGGTCAGAGCAATCTGCGCAGAGCTTGGGGTGGGCCTCAGGGAGGGGTGGCCCCAGGGGGTCGAGTCTACAGGAAATAAGCCTTCTAGCATTGTCCTGAGCTGCCAAACATACATGCTCCCCCCCCCCCCCCCACCCAAGCCTTGATGCTCTCCCAGGCTCTGGCCTCCAGCTTTGAGCGCCATGCTGGGAGGGTCTCTCCTCTCTCCTGCACGCCTCTTTTCCTGTTCCTTCTGTTCCCCAGCCCCGGAGCTGCCCCAAAGAAACAGCAGGAGCTACATGGTGGGAACAGTGAGGGGACCCAGGGCACAGCCCTCTGGCTTCTCTCCCAGCTCCTCATTTGATATGCGATCTCAGGCAAGTAACCTCACCTCCCCAGTGCTGGGGCTACAGACCTGTGCCCCCCCCCCGCTTTATCCCAGGGCTGGGAACAGAACCCAGCATGCACTCTGCCAACTGAGTCACATCCCCAGCCCAGCCTCACGTCTCCCCCCCACAATGTCAGTGTGGTGCTCACTGCCTCGTATGGTCACGAGCATTCAAATGAAAGAGGACAGGTCCTAGTCACAGCCGGCACAGAGAGAAATTGTTGAAAGAAAATGCTGGGTCCCCTGTTTTCTCTTAGTACATGGCTAGGGCCAGGTATACAATAGGCACTCAATAAATGGCGAGTGAGGGGAGGCAGGGGGATCGTGTCTGATTCGTTTCCCCCCATAAGACCCCTGGGGGTGGGCTTGCTGAGCGCCCGGCCTGAACCCTACTTCCTCTCTCCTGGAGTTCTGTTTTCCCACACCCCACCTGTGAGGTGCTTCCCGAGGAGGCTGTTACTTCCCTTCTCTCTCTGCTTCCCACAACCCTGCTTCATAGCCCAATAACATTGGTCCACCTTCACACCCAACCCAGGACACCCCAGATAGCTGCAATGTTGTTTTGAGACAGGATCTCACTGTGTAGCCTAAGCTGGTTTTGAACCTGAGATTCTCCACCCCCAGCCATCAGGGTGCTGGGAGGGCAGGAGTGTGCCATCAGGCCTGGCTTGAGTTTTCAATTCCTGTTTTTCACTGAGGAAATGGAGAAGGCTGAGTAGCTGCCATGCCTGATGACTTGAGTTCAATCCCCGGAACCATACGGTAGATGGGAAGACCTGACTCCCCAAAGTTGTTCTCTGACCCCCAAAACCCATGGTGTGAGCATACATGCCACATAATTATAAAATATAATAATATATGATTATAATATAGCTAGAATAACGGACTCTGTAGATATAGCACACACCTGTAATCTCTGTACCCAGAGGTGGAGGCGGAGGCAGGAGGACTGTGAGTTTGAGGTCCCGTTGCACTTCATAGAAAGATCGAGACTTTCCTGGGCTACACAGCGAGGTTCAGGCTAACTTGTGCAACACAGCAAGCGCCTTGTCTCAAAACCATGCACTGCTGCCGGCCCCCCCCCCCACCAAGAACATCCTCGCCTCCCTCAAGTCCTCTCCTTCTCCAAGGCTGTGCTGGAAGCCTCTGCCCCGCCTTCTCCTAGCCCACCACAGTTCCTCCTGCCTCCCATGCCCAGCCGGCCACAAGCAGCTGGCTTGGAGCACACTTGTGTCTTGTTTTATGTAAGTCTGGCTCATTTCTCCTGCTAGCCCTGGGGTGGATCTCATCTCTCAGATGTGTGAATCATGACCCTCGACTCCCAGGGATCCGAACAGTCCTCTGGCCTGGGCTAGAACCCCTGAAAACTTGCCTTAGTCCTCTGCCTGTAAACTCTCTGCGATGGGAGACCCATCAGCCCTCATTTCTTCTCCGTGGTCTGCACAGGCTTCCTCCTGGGCAGCAGACACTTCTCAGGCCCTCAGATTGTTTTCAGTTTTGCCTTCCTCTCTTCCCCTCCCCTCCCCTTCTTTTTTACTAATGCTCCTCTTCTCTCCCCTCTCCTAACTCCCCTCCCTTCCCCTCCCCTACTCTTCCCTACTCTTCTCTTCTCTGCCAACACAGGGTTTCTTTGTAGTCCAGGCTAGCCTTGAACTCTCTATGTATCTTAGGCTGGATTTGGGATTACAGTCCTGTCTCAGCATCCCGAGTCCTGGAAATGACAGGCTGTGTCCCCATGCCAGTTAACTTTTCTCTCAAGAGTCCTCTCAGATAGACCTACTCTCTTGAGAGACCTCCCTGAGCCCTCTCGTTTCTGTTACCTGCTTATTTACCAGTCACCTCTGACAGGGAGAATTTTAAGCCTTAGAAACTGGACTGGGTAGGTCAGGGGTGGTGATAAACACTGATAATCCCAGTACTTGGAAGGCAGAGACAGGAGGATTACTGCAAATTGGAGAGGCCAATATGTCCTACCTACCAACTTCCAGGCCACCCAGAGCTATGACATATCTGAGACTCTAAAACAAAAGTGTGTTTTAATCTTAGAAAATTGGATCCAGGCTCAGTAGCTGGCAGATGTAATCCCAAGTGGAATCGGGAAGATCAGGAGTTCAAGGTCACCCTCATCCACATAGTGAGTTTGAGGCCAGCTTGGGCCGTATGAGACCTTGTGTCAATGAAACAAAACAAACACACAAACAGAAAAAGAAAAAGAAAAAAAATCCACCGTAGGGGTTGGGCATGTAGCTCAGAGGTAGAGCACTTGCCTAGCAATCACAAGGTTTCTGGTTCAGTCCCTAGTACCAAAAACAAAAACAAAAAACCTCCCAAACAACAACACACAACCATAATAAATAGATAATAAAAACTTAGAAAACTAAAGCTAGGAGCTAATTACAAGGACTATGAGACCCTTAGAAAATTGTCAGAGAATATGTCACTTTACAATTTTGCTGTCCCATGACCATCCCAGTGGATATATTTTTCTTGGCATCTGTGCAGTGGCTACTGTTCCCCTAGTCCCCAAACTCCAGTGATGCTTAGGGGCTGGGCACTAAAATCAGGGATGTTTCTTCCATTTTGCAGCCAGGGAAACTGAGTCAGCCAGATACCAGCTTTGGCCTGGTATCTGCATTTGACCTTGGATTTGCTGCTGGGAGGCTCAAAGACCATATGGAGCAGGGCCAGCGGGTCCTGGCAGGGGGCTTGCCAAGCCAAAGTCCAGTGGGGCAGCCTGGATTGAGCAGATAAGACCTCACTGAGCTGTTTGTTGTGTGCAAGGAGCAGTTTGCCAGGCACTTTTCAAAAGCTGTCGCTTCGTGCGTGCCTCTGCGGGTGGGTGAGCGATCCCTTGCTCCCACAAGACATACGGAACTGGATCAAGACACTAAATCTTTGGCAGCTTATCAGAGGCACCCACGGAGCTGTCCAGCCCCAAATCCCTCAAGTGAGAGCCTCCGCAGATCAAATAGAGGAAGAATTCCTGGGTCACAGCATAGACACAGGTGACCATCATGCCATCAGGGCTGAGATCTCCTGAGACAAACTTTCAGTGTGTAAATGAGGGGAGGGGATGCTGAAAGCATTTCTGGCATCAGGAAGGACATTAAACTTTGTTTTATATCTAATCCTCCAACATGTACCATTTTGAAGAAAGGGCTCCAGGTAGCCCAGGCTAGCCTAGAACTCACCATTTAGATAATGACTTTGAACTCCTGATCCTCCTGCCTCCACCTTTCCAAAGTGCAATGCTGCCACAGGCAAGGGGGCTCCCATGCCTGATTTTTTTCTCTCTTGGTGACCTTTTACTTTTATTTTAATTTTGCTTTGGGGGGAGGATAGAGTCTCTCTGTATAGCACAGGCTGGCTTGGGACTCAGTCTGTAGCACAGGATTCACAGCAAGAGCCTGGCTAATGCATCCCCTTTAGCATAGGGGCTGGAGCAAGTCATTATTCAAAGGGAATGCTATCATGAGCCCCCCATCAGTGACGAGGAACTGGTACCCAAGACCAGAGAGATGGGAGACTAGGTAGGTGTAACCAGTGTCCAGCCTCACCCAGATCTCTGACGTCTTTGGACTTCAGTGGACTCGGAACAGATCTTGAAAGACCTCATCGATTCACATGCCTCTTACTGGAACCTAGTGACTCTGGCCACCTGGGACAGAGTTGAGATTTATCTTCATGGGGGAACCATGCCAGCTGAGCACTGAGTGATGTCACCCAGGCTACAAGGGGAGGGTTTGTTCTGCCCTTAAAGGAAGACTCCGCCCCAGGCCTGTATCTCCCCAATATTCGCTGGCATTTCCCCCACCCCACCTCTTTTTTTTCTCTTTTGACTCAAGGCAGAAAGTTGGCTAATATTAACTTCCCAGGGTGGCCTTAGCCTGCCTAAGGCTCTATTTCTGTACCTTTCAAGACAGGGTCTTGTGTAGCTCAGGCTAGCCTTGAACTCCCTATATAGCTAAGGCTGGCCTTGAACTCCTGATCCTCCTGCCTCCACAGGCGTGAGAATCCACACCTGGCTTATGCGGTGCTGGGAAGGGAGCCCAGGACGTCTAGTATGCTAGGCAAGCATTGCGCTGCTGAGCTCCTCCACCTCCAGCCTTCTCTCAGACGCCTTTGAGGTGAGATCTCACCGTGTAGTTCAGGCTGCCCTTCAACTCGACAGCCTCCTGCCTCGGGTGTGTGGTTTCATGCCTGGCCTCAGTTGTCCCGTTTGCAAAGATAATAGTTTCCTTACGATGACCCAATATAACCATCAAGGCAGGAGGGTGGACAGATGTTAGGTGACCATGTCTGGGGGCAGAAGGGTCAGCTGCAGGGTCCTCCTGTTGGTACCCACAACCCTCGGTCTAGGAGCGCTTGTCCTACAGTGGGCTCCTACCCTGAGCAGGTCAGTCTCATGGAATAGCTGCTGTTCCCACCCAGCCTCTGACCACAGCCCCGCCCCGCCCCGCCCTGCCCCGCCCCGCCCTGCAGCCCCTTGTCCCCAGTTTAAGTTCAGGTTCCCTCGACAGGGAGGTCTCTTACGGAAACCAGACTCAAGCCAGACAACTGGGGCAGATGGCTCACGGGCTCATACCTCTTTCACCCTAGCCGGATGCACCTTCGCTCTGTGAGCAGCCTCCTTCCTCCCCCCAAACCCAGTGTGCCTGGTCCGGATACATATCAGATGACCAAAAGGATAACTCAAGGGCTCCGTGAGCCTCTGACACCAGCTGTGCCCTGTCTGCCAGGAGATGGGCACTTTTCCCAGCTCATCCGCCTGGCCTGCTCGCCACCCCAGCAAGCCCTTCTATGGGCACAGCCTCGCACACACTTACAGTGACAACCTACACCTGGGCACCAGACTTCTTCAGGATTTTGTTGTATTATTTTATTTTAGACAGCCTCACGTAGCCCACATGGCCTCGAACTCACCGTGCAGCCAATGACGCAGGTACGCATCACCACGCCCATCTAGTTTACCGGGGGGCTTTGAGCATTCTTAGTTAGCATGCGCTCTACCAACTGAGGCATCCTTAACCCTCGTTTAGTTTAGTTTTTTTTCCTTTTCTTGAGATGGGGTCTGGTTGGCTTTGAACTTACATGCTGGTGTGGCTCACCATACCCAGCTTTGTGTTGGACTTTGGTAGGCCCCACCAGACAACATCAAGGTTGCCTCCCTCCACCACCACCTGCCTAGGAACGGACTTGTCAACAGACCTTCATACCTTTCTCAGACACTTCTCCTTCAGGGACATGATCGGCCAGACCCTCACATTGACGCCTGTGCAACATAATATGAAACACACACACACACACACACACACACACACACACACACACACACACACACACACACACACGGTCCCAGCATCCCCAAGCAAAGACAAACCAGGATTGTCTCTTTCTCCAGGCTGGTATGTGCGTGCACAGGTGTGCAAACTGCCATCACCGGGAAAGCCCCCAGGTGGCTGAGAGGACACCCTCCTCCCCAGCTTGGACAGAGTGTAGGGACCATCCTGATTTGTGGAATGCATGTTTGACAGGACCCCCTAGTCAGAGCTGGCTCCCTAGAGGAGTCAGTTCCCAGGACCCTGCCCGGAGGAGTGGGGATCTGGAGGTGAAGAGCTCATCCATCTCCGGGATCCTCCATCAGTCTTGTCACCTGGCCGGCTGGGTCCCGGCGAGGGGGCAGCGTGGGACCGGCGAGGGGCAGCGTGGGACCGGCGAGGGGGCAGCGTGGGACCAGCGAGGGGGCAGCGTGGGACCGGCGAGGGGCAGCGTGGGACCAGCGAGGGGGCAGCGTGGGACCGGCGAGGGGCCCCTTACCTCCAGGCTGCGCGGGATGGAGGAGGTTGAGCAAGAAGATCAGCAGGACGCCAGGCTGCAGGACTGCCGCTGTCAAACCCGCCATCTCGGGGAGGACTGCCCCAGCCTGCTCTCTGAGCCTCGTTTTATCCCCAAAGCGTAATTGCTGCCTGGTAGGCTGCTGTGAGGGAAGGAGGGAGGGAGAGAGGGCGGGTGGAAGGAGGGCGGGAGGAGGGGGAACTGGGGGAGGGGGTCGCGGGGGAGGGGGCAATTACGAAAGGCTAGGCTTGCAAGCCTCCTAGCCTGGATCTGCCTGGACCATGGGTCTATTTTCCTACACACACACACACACACACACACACACACACACACACACACACACGGCTTTCCCCCCATCTCTTTCCCTCTTTCCCTCTGTAGCTGTTTGCTTGCTCCTGGCCCTGTTCCCGCCACAAAGTGCGAGGGGGCCTTTGCCAGGACAGCCCTCTGGAGAGGAAGCAGGAGGGAGGGCCCAGGCAGCCCGGCCAAAAAATCCCAGCCCTAGCCAAGGCTGGAGTAGCCAGGCCCCCGCCCCACTGCCTGGGCCCCAGGCCCAGTGTGGGGACACAGGCCAGCTGTCCCGCGCCTCAGCTCCCACCCTGGTCCTGCAGACACCCCGATAACCACCCCCCCACCCCCTACCCCCGCCAGGCTTAGATAAAGACAGACTTTACCCAAAACCGGATTGGGAAGATTGATGGGGTCCCTTAGCCCTTAGGGTCTGCCGATAGAGTCTGCAGGCAGAATTGCCTGGGAGAGAAAATCAGATGGGTGTGCACCGTGGGGCATTTTTGGGACAGAATAGAGACCCTGACATACGATCTAGTTCATCGTGGTTGAGACAAGGGCTTAGCCATTTGTTTGAAGCCAGAGAAAGAGTGTTGGATAAGTCTAGGGTCTATGGTTGCAGAAACCAAGGGGTTGAGGTCAGGTGAACAGCTTGGGAGTAAAAGCCATGTATTTAGTGTCTCCCTAGGGCTCCAAGATGATCCTTGCTTAAGGTATTGGTTGATTCTGTACAGGCCACGGGCATAGCTTTGCGCCTCCCTGAGCAAACCAGTGTTCCACAGATGTCAGACTAGGTCTTAAGTGCCATGGAGGTGGGAGCTCTGTGAAGAGACTGTTACCTCAGTATTCTCATCATTGCTTGTTCACCACCTGTCAAATGCTGAGCACCCCTAGCTCTAGCTTGGATCTGGAAACCCGATTCCCTTGGCGCCTCTGAGAAGGCTTGAGGATGCTATTTTTCTGATGACCAGAAGGGGGCAGCCTTTGCCGAGCCAGCAGAAATAGCCAGCCAGGAAAGCTTGTGGTTAGTATAATGCCCTGACAGCCTGGCCCCTGAGCATATGGGGACCCTGGGAGGTTTTAGGGAGGTGAAAGGGTGGGTCAGGGGAAGGCCACATCACTCCCAGACCCCTGCATGTATGAAGGAAATGTGGGTGTTAGAGGGTAGGAGACGAAGATGGCTCCTTGCTCTAGGTCATAGTTGAGCAGAGGAAAAAGTGGACCGAGTGTCCTGGGGTATTTCTCCTGCGGGAAGTGGCTCAGAGGGGTAAGTTAAAGATATCGTCTAGCACAGGGTAAGGACTCTGCAGATCTGACAGCGATGCCCAGGAGGGGAGAGATCAAAGGCAGGCGGCTTGGGTAGGACTGGGCTGACTTCTGGGTTTCTCTTTCTTTCTTTCTTTCTTTCTTTCTTTCTTTCTTTCTTTCTTTCTTTCTTTCTTTCTTTCTTTCTTTCTTTCTTTCTTTCTTTCTTTCTTTCTTTCCTTCCTTCCTTCTTTCTCTCTCTCTCTCTCTTTCGGTTTTTTGAGGCAGGATTTCTCTGTATTGTTTTGGAGACTGTCCTAGAACTCGCTCTGTAGAACAGGCTGTCCTTGAACTCACAGAGATCTGCCTGCACCTGCCTTCCAAAATGCTGAGATTTAAGGCGTGCGCCACCAATGCCCGGCTTGTCCCTTTTCTTTGTCTCCCTCCCTCCTTCCTTTCATTCCTTCCCCCACAATTTCTTCTACTCTCCTCCCTCCTTCCCTGTCTCCCTTCTTCCCTCTCTCCCTCCTTTCCTTCTTTCTTCTTCTCCCTCCTCCCTTCCTTCAACGTGGCCATAGTCTCCCTACATAACACAGGCTGGCCTTGAACTCAAGATCCTCCTGCCTCAGCCTCTTGAGCATTGGGATGACCAGTGTCTACCGCTGTGCACAGTGAGTTCCAGCACTTCAGCCTGGTACATTAGCTGATGTCAATTACCCTCAACTAGGAGATGATTGCAAAGACAGAGAAAGTGTGGGTGTGTGTCTCTGCCCTGTGCCTAGACGTGTTCTGTATCAGTCGACAGTGCCGTGGCTGGAGCTAGTCCTGGAAGCTCTGCCCCTGTCTGTGGTGTGGCTGTCTGGCGTGACTGCATCTCTACTGGATCAGTCTGAGATCCGGGGCAGTCTTTCCCTTTCCCTTGTTCTACCGGTCATGATATCACCAGACTCTTGGAAGGGGGGGCATGATCGGAGAAGCATCTCAAAGCTGGGCATGGCACTGGAGGACAGAGTGTCTAATATCAGCCTGAGCTAGACAGCAAGCTCCAGGTTAACCTGGGCTACATGGCGATACCTGATCTTAAAGAGCAAAGCAGACGGGGGTAGTGGTACATTCCTGGACGCTCTGCATTTGGGAGGTAGAGGCAGGAGGATCAGGGGTCTAAAGCCATCCTTGTTGTGGCCAGCCTGGGGTACCTGAAACTCTTAAACCAACCCAAAGCATGGGAGAGAAACAGAGAGGGAGAGAGAGAGACAGAGACAGAGACAGAGAGACAGAGAGAGACAGAGAGAGACAGAGAGAGAGAGAGAGAGAGAGAGAGAGAGAGAGAGGAACCATCTAGAAACCATAGCACATGTGTATATAGCTCTTTTGTAGTGTAGTGTAGTCCCGGGTGTACAGAAGACTCAAGAACCTTGAAGAGAATAGGGCCTATGCCATGGGTAGGGCCTGAGGCTCCAAGTCCTAGATGGGGGATTGCAGGGGTGCTGGTGGGGAGCGGGGCCCCACTCCTCTTGGAGTAGTGACGCGGGCAGGAACTGGCTCGCAGACTTGCAAACCACAGTCTGCCTGGAGTTTTATTAATTCCAGGACTGGGGAAGGGGTTGGAGCCAGCAGGAGAGGCTTGCCGAGGGGATCCAGGAGAGGTATAGAGGGAGGGGTTGCTAGGATAGGCTTCAGGCTGCTGGGCCAGGGCCCTGTGCTCCAGTGCTCGCTTCACAGTGCTGCAAAAGGCTCCGTGTACCCACAAAGGGAGTGGGGCAGATCCATCCGTGCACAGCACAGCACATGCAGAGGTACCCATGCACGTCAATACGGCAGTGACCAGGTAAAGGCTAGGAATGCCAGTCACGGGATGACATCCATTCGTCAGCTAGTTGCTTGAACATTCCAGAAACCCAGCAGTCCTCAACTGCTCAGTGCCACCTCCCTGGATAGTGGACAGATGAAATGAGCTCATTTACAAAATGACTCTGACTCTCAGAGTGTAGCTGGGCGCCCTTGACCAAGATCATTGACAAATTCCAATGCCTGTAGGGTGTCCAGCTTGCTGTGGGCTGAGGGGTGTCTAGGAGAGTTTGGGCAAAGTCTGTAATGGGCTCCTGCTTCTCCGGTGCTCTGTTCTGGAAGGACAGAAAATACAGTTTCCATGTAACTCTAAGAAACAACAGCGATTTGCGCAGAGACCCTCAGTAGCCATTCAGATAACGTTCAGTCCTTCCTTCCTTCCTTCCTTCCTTCCTTCCTTCCTTCCTTCCTTCCTTCCTTCCTTTTGCAGTACTGGGGATAATATCTGGGGCAAATACCCTACCTCTGAGTCATGTTCTAAGTCCCTCACTGGGGGATTCTAGGCAGGTGCTCTGCCACTGAGCCATGCCCCTAGCTCCTGATTTACTGGCAGATTCTAGGCTGGTCCTTCACTACTGACTTACATCCTTAGCCCTCTTCATCTTTTATTTCAAGCCAGGGTCTTGCTAAGTGGCATAGGACAGCTCTGAACTTCTTTCTATGTAGCACAGGGTGGCCTCGAAACCTGTGATTCTCCTACCTCAGCCTCTTAAATGACTAAGATGACAGGGATGTACCACCATTGCCAATTCAGTATCCAGGTTTCTGAATGTGGCCTCCCAGGACCTGTATGACTGGCTCAACCCTCTCCCTTAGCCTTCCTTTCTGCTACTGAGGTTGGGGTCCTCCTCCTCCTCTTCCTTCTTCTAAGATTTATCTACTTAATGTATGAGTGCTCTATCTGCATGTATGCTTTTATGCCAGAAGAGGGCATCAGACCCGCTGTAGATGGCTGTGAGCCACCATGCAGTTGCCGGGAATTGAACTCAGGACCCCTGGAAGAGCAGCCAGTGCTCTTAACCTCTGAGCCGTCTTCTTCCACCCTGTCCCCTGAACCTTTTTGAAGATCCTTGGACTCCACTGGGGTATTTCTTTTTCTCCATCAACAGTGACTCTCTGTCATGGCTGATGGAAGGTCTCACCAGCTTCAGAATGTTGAACAAAGCTCACCAAAGAGGCTTCCAGGAAATGCAGGTAGAGACTGCTGGTGTAGACAGACCTCCCCAATCCCCAGGGAAAGCTTGAGTTTCCTTCCTTGTCCGCAGAGGGCATCGCCAAGATCCTGCTGTTCTGTGGGGCCCTGATCTGGTGAGAGGGACAGACACACTTGGGGGCTAGCCTGGGCAGACTGAACTCAGCACCCTAGTTCTGTTTTGTCTTTGGGAAGCTGAAGACCTACTTTAGTGTGAGCAAGAGGCCTGCCTCTAGTCAACCCCAGAGGAAGCAGAGTTAACAGGTTACACTAGCAGGAGAACATGGATTTTCACATGTACAGAGCAGAGGGTTGGGAAGGAAATAAATATTAGCTGGCTGGAAACCCAAAGACCGGAAATGCTTTCCCCCAGCTGCACACACATACCTTACTTTCCTCTGATTTTATTTTGATTACTAGTGAATATTTATTTAAATTTTTTGTGGTACCATGGACGGGATCCAGAGTTCATGCGAACACTAGCTCTAAGCTCCCTGACACTCATTTAAACTATGTAACCTGTGCTGATCTTGAATCTGAGATCTCTCCCAGCCTCTTGAGTGCAGGACTACATGTACCTCCAAGGCTAGTTTCTGCC